CGACTACCTACCCTACGTAGTAGTTCGTTACGTAGTACCGTCCGTCGTACGTAGTAGTCGACTACTAACTAACTACAACGAAACGAAACCCAACCCACCCTCCTCTCTCTCTCTCTCTCTCTCTCTCTCTCTCTCTCTCGTCTATGAAGGTTCTCATAGGAGGCAAGGTCGAATCCAACTCATACAAGCATCCATTGGTTTCCCCACCTCTGCTCCAGCAACACACGCATACTGTATTGTAATGAGCTAGAGGGGTTTCAGGTTTTACCTCAAAGCCCAAGCGTATGAACTGGTAATATTGTGCAATGATCTGACTGGCACCTGCATCCAACAAAACAATCCATGGAATAAGTTTCTTCTCCTGCAAGAAAAAAATCCCAAACTCTTCTCTGTTATCCAAAGACTTGAAATCAGCCAATCTCTCTCTCTCTCTCTCTCTCTCAGAGTACCATTCAAGTATGAGCATAACTTCCTAATCAATTACTAAAGTATATTTATTAAAGAAAATCTACATAACATCTAGTTTCATACTAACAAACAATGACTTATGGAAAAAAATGGAAAACGATTGGAATAAGCACAAAACTTAAAGCTTCTATAAAGATGGATATGCTCAATACATTGGAACTCAAGCCCCATGGATAAAGAAAAACGGTTTCGACATAAAAAACAAGAGCACTATACCGACAAATGGACTGGACAGTAAAAATAAAAAAAGAGAAAAACATGTTTATGTAGAAAAGGATTCGTTCGTTTAAGGAAGGTATGTCCATTATTGGAAGACTTTTTCCTTATTTATAGGAAGCTTTTCTAAGCTACCCTTCAAAATACTGAAAACTAAATGCAAGAACATGATGAAGAGTACCAGGATGATTTATAAGAGGCATTCTTTAAGCTGCATTTGGGAAGAGTTTAATTTGCAATAGCAACCCAATATGGTTACAAATTTGACAAGTAAACATGGGGTCTTTGGGAAATATTTCTACCATAGGCCAGATATCCAAAATGTCACTCCTAAAGCCTATTTTACAATGGATGAGAAGGCACTTAATGACCTTTTTTTTTTACAATGTGTGACCATGCCAATGCATAAGAGTTTCTCTTTTTTGTATCTTCTATTTTTATTTATGTGTGTGTGTGTGTGTGGGGTGTTGTGTGGAGGGGTAGACAGAGATGATTATATATATATATATATATGGGTAGTCCAGTCATAGGAATCGAACTTATGTATAGAAAGATTAGGTAGAATAAACATTCTCCTGAGGGTAGGTTCAGCTTATTTTACCAATCAAAAAAGAAAAGTTCGAGAAAATCTAAGTTCCTTAGAATGAAAGACCTGGTTTTTTAACATATTACCGAGAGTCCATGCTCGCTCACTCAGAATGGAAGCGACCAGAAAAATACAGAACATAAATGGTGTATACACCAGTAAGGTAAGAATTTAAAGAAAATACACCAACTATAAACAATCGTCACCATAAAAGAAACTCAATTATATATAGGGTGCGGTTTGTATAGAGCCTAGGCTCTAATCAATCAAATTAGAGCCTACCTTCAAATAGTATAGAGAAATGTGGTTTCAATACTGGGAATCTTTGTGATAGCCTTAAAATATATTTTCATCTTTATTTATAAAGTTCAAAGCTTCAAAAATAGTGTAGATCGAGAGATCCATGAAAACTTCAAAATCTTAAAAATTGGCGGTCCAAAGATGCATTACAAAATACACTATTTCCAAAACTTGAAATCCATTTTTTTCTCATGTCCATGCATCTGATAGCGAGATGGTCAATTTGAGGATATTTGGGCATCAAAACATCTTCTAGTGAAATTTCTGAGGTAGGCTCAAATTTGATTGTTTAGAGCCTCGGCTCTATATAAACTTTTCCCTTATATATAAGCTTGGAATAAGTTTTCTTATCGGCAGTTTATCAAAATAACCATAAGATATGAGCTATATGACATTGTGCCCATATTGTTTGATTTACTTTCTAAATACCCATGACAACATACGTGATTATAAGTTGGAATAGTTGCAAATATGTAAAATGTTAAATAGTGTATCTCTCGTGCGTATTTTCATAATTTTCCCTTTTTATAAATGTTTTAGACCAGAAATAAAACCCACATATTAATTTGTTGTAGTCCTAAACCAAGGACTACCCATGATCAAAGTAGCAGAAACAGACTAAACCCATCTAGGCCAACATATATTAGAATATCACACTTCCTACGAATATCTTCTTTACACTAAAATAGGCACAAGCATTTAGTATTAGAAGTCATAATCCAATCCAGGACTAACCATGCCAAACTATGTAAAACTGGCAAACAAAAACCCATCTTGGCCAATTTTACAATCATACTTACCTTTGGAAAAATTAAGGGTGAAAGTGGGTTGGTCTGCTCCTAAATAATTGATATGGAAGATGAGTTCATCTGGTAAATCTTCCTTAGTTCTCCAAATCACCCACCCAATACCTGGATAAACCATGCCATACTTGTGGCCACTAACATTAATGCTCTTCACCAAGGGCAGCCTGAAATCCCATTCCAAATCAGGGTAGAGAAAGGGTGCAATGAACCCTCCACTAGCTGCATCTACATGAATAGAAGTACCCCAACTGCAAACAAAAATAAAAGCATGTAAAACTTTTCCCAGATAGCTAGATAGAAAAGGGGTGGAAAACACAAAATTATTTGTGCAACTATACTCTTTAAGGGCAGGAAAACCACAAAAAGCATGTGGAGATCAGCATATAGACAAGCGAGCACAAACCAAAGATTTATAGGGAACATGGTGCAGATATTCTTAACGTGAGCCCTTAATAGTACTTCAGTGTTGAGGCCCATGTTCTAATTCAGTTGCTCAAACACCAACAAAACCTCAAAATAGGGAGAGCCTCCTGGCCAAAGGAAGTTAGTTGCATTCTAAACAACCAAACCTTTCAATCATATTGAAAAAAGATAAAACTAAAAGTATCATACACATAACATGAACATTTATATGAACACATGGGCACACACATGTATATACATGGGAAGGTTCTTCTTTAATTGAGATGCTAATAGATTTTTCACCCGGAAAAAAAAACATATGGGTGTAGGATACGATCAAACCAAAGCACACAATTCTATGCTCACATAGCCACAAAACCCAGCTTCACCTACAAATGGAATTCATTAAACCAAAAAGACATGTCTTAGGTAACAAAAAAGAATCTGGAGTTGAAAGAACGAAAAAACTACAAGAGGGATTAATTTGGGGAAACAAACATATCATGAGTTAAAAGAAGGAAAAGAAACATTCTTGGATTCAATCCAAACAGTCAGATGCTTTATCCTATCTTACCCACCCTGTTTCCTTGTTTTTCTCTGTCAAGAGATCATTGAGAAGCTTAACATCCTCGAATTCACCATTAAGAGTAGAACCTAATATGGCAGCCACACATATTGTGTTCTCATCCACCATCTCCACAGCCTTTTTTGGGTCCATAACATAGTAACCCTCTCTAAGCTTCACTTCCTTCAACTCCACCTCAAAATACCTAGCAAATTTCTCCCAACATACCTATTGAGAAACAAAATATAAACCCAGAAATTAGGGGAAACATGCAAAAGGAAACAAAAGATAGCATTTTATGAATTTTCATACTTGTAGAAGATTCTAACAAACTAAAGAGAAGACAAGAAAGAGATGCAAAAGATTTATTGACATTTCATCAATTGTCCTATTTATTTCTGAAGAAGTCCATAACCCAACAAATAAATAATGGCAGAAAATAAATAAAAAGTATCAAACCAACAGAATACAAGAATTCAAATTTGAGAAAAAGATTTAAATGCATTGACCCAAGAAAAAGAAAATGCAACAGTAAAGCTATTGTTGAAATATCTGAATCAGATACAATCGAGCTTTGAGTTAAACACACTTAACATGATATTTAATTCATGAACTAAGAAAGGAGTTTCTCCATCTATTGCATTTCCTTAAGGGAAATTCTAATGCAGGATAAACTTATTCTTATTTTTAATTTCTATTCGATTTCAAAGGATGTAAATGTTATTATTAGTTTTAGAGTTTGTTTGTAGGATTTTTAAGGTTTTTTTGGGATTCTAGGGTTTTTTTAACATTTTTATTTAGTATGTTCATGGTACTCACAGGTACTGTTATGGGCTACCATTCCTAGAAGTATTTAGGAAATTTTAAATGTTATTTAAGGGTAATATGGATTTTTGTATCCAAGTCAGGACATGGGTGTCAATTTCTTACTTGTATGGACAATTAATGACCTTTGAACATTAAACAAAGATTATTTAAGAGGTGCATGGGAGCCCAAGGAGGCGAGCATGTGATGTTCTAAAAAAACTAGCAAGGGATACGTGCTCCACACGTGTTTTGTATATACGACTTAGATATTTCTATTTTTACATGCTTGAAGAATTATCTAATGCATTTATAGATACTATAGTAAATGAAAAAAGTTTGAGCAATTCTTGTGATTAATTCAGAAATTTTGCCTAAGTTTATTCGATATAAAATGTCTTATATAGAAAAAAAAAAATAGGGATTGTATTATATGGGACTAAATTTAAAAATAAAAAGAACTATGTATTAAACCATATGACTCATGAAAGGATTTTATAAAAAAGACCTGAAATACTAAATCTCGTAGAATGATAGGAACTCCCACAAGTCTCTTAGGGCACGTTTGGTTGGTGCGTAAATATTTCCCCAAGAAAAATATTTACATATGTAAACACTTTGCAGGAAAAACTTCTGCAAACTTTCTTTTCACCATGTTTATTAACACGTTTAAAAGCACTCTAAAATGAATAACATATGTTTAGTAACTTGTTCGGTATTTAAATATATTTTGTAAACATATTAAATCTATGCATGCAATATTTAAATATTATAACTAAAAATATATAGTTCTATTTATTTAAATACTATTTAAACATTATTAAAATACTATTTAAATATTATTAAAATATTATATATTAAATATTATTTTTATGTTAATATAAAAATAGTAAATGCTATATATATATTGAAATGTAAATATCAATTACATAAATAAAATATGTTAAATATTATAATGGAGAGTAAGGACCAAAGATCAAAGACAGCTGGATTATTTATTCCTTTGAGATAGCCAATTTCCACTGATCTTTGGTACAAGGTGAGACATTAATCTTGACCATTTACCTTTGGTACAAGGTCAAACATTAATATCGACCATTGGATGTGAAATTGGGTGGCTGCAATTATTCCATTGACCAAGGTCAAACTTCAAAAGAAATTTTTGCGAACTTTGTGACACATCCAAGCTATCAAACTTCGCATCGGATGGTTGTAAGTAATTGTGATTACCTTGTATCAAAGGTAAATGGTCTCAGTACACAATCCCTAAAGCAAAATGCTGAAAATAAAAGTTACCTTATCTCGTTAGAGCTGCACAGTAATAGCAAAAGGGTAAAGGGTAAAAGACTATGGTACCTGCACGTTGGCACCGGTTACAATGTTGGGTTTATCATAAGGTTTGCCCTCCGCTTTTCTCTTGTTCTGCCACTGCCTCTTGAATGCCAGCCCAGCCAACATTATAGCTTCCGAAGACCCAACAGTTCCAACTCCAACTGCCGCCTCCTCTTCCTTGACCGGAGCATTGAAGAGATGGGCAATAATATTCACGCATCTATTCTAAAAAATACAACAAAGCCATCAGTAAAGAGATGAACTATTGATAGGAAGGTGAAAAAACATCTGAACAGAGGGGGTAAGATGATAGCAGAGTTCACGCAAGGGTATAGAACAGTGTTTTTAATTGGAATACAAACTCGACCATCAAAGTTAAGGAAGCTTGATAAAGAAAGAGGAAATTTAGAAGAAACTTGAGAGTAGGGGACTAGGAAGGGAAAGATTAACAATAAAAACCCACCACAAGACCCCAAGCTGTAGATGCAACTCGGGGTTGCATGAGAAAACTTAATCGTCAGTCCCTCTCTCAATCTCTCACTCTCAAATGCAGGCACTCCCCCTTGAATGATCTCTCTCTGGGGGTGATTTCCACCTCCCTTTTCATTCCTCTTTCCCCCTCACTCTCTTTGTTTCTCACGCCCTCAGCTCTCTCTAAAAAGGGGTAGAAACCGGACCCCTTTGTCATCTCTCTCAAATCCCCTGTTTCCATTTCTTTCTTCTCCAAAGACAGATGGCTTAGAGAGAGAAAGATGTCTATAGGGCTGAGGGAAGAGAAGGAGAGATGAGAGAGAGAGAGGACTGTGGGGCTGAGAAAAGTGAGAGAGATGGTCGTAGGGCTTGGGGGGAGAAGAGAGAGATTGAATAGAGATAAAAGTCAGAGAGAGATTAGAGGGATGGAAGAGAGACAGTAGCCTTGGGCGAGTGGTGAGTAGCTCACCCGAGGAGATCTTCTAAACACTATAAAAAACTATTAAAACCACAGAGCCCTAAGGTCAGCTATGCCACAAAAATACAAGTTTTCTTCCTTGGTGTGATTGAGAATTCTCAGAATTGATTGCACATCTACAAATCAGATTAGATACAGTGTTTTAGAGCTAGCATCAGCCAAGGTACTCGGCCCTTGGCAGATACAAGTAACTCGGACGTCCAAGTGGCTCGGCCACACTCCAAGAATGTGTTTTTTTTTATAGTAAAATAGTTGTAAAAAACAGTTAAAATGAGTAAAAATTAAAAGAGATAATAGAAATCATTAGAAGACTAAAGAGGAAAAAAAAAACCTATAAAAAATATGGATTATCAAAAAATTTGATTTATCCCTTGAATAATTTAAAAAAAAAATTAAATAAGAAAGTTCTAAATCATCTTAAAAACCATCCAAATCAACTACAAACATATATCTAAATAATATAATGATATTTTCCATATTTTGCATTTTTAACTCTTTTTTTGTAGTTTTTATTTGGTACCTATCAAGTAGGGCACCCCACCTTGCCTCGAGGACGAGGATGAGGACGAGGACAAGGCCGAGTAAGTCAGCTGAGTCCACTCTTGAAACACTAATTACATATTCTTATTAACCGACTAGAGTTCTTATAGGAAATGTTATTTCTATAACCAATTTCCTATCCTCAGTGACAACAAAAATTCCAAGACTGAATGTCGATTCTATCAGATAATTTTCCTACTGTTTTGAATATTACAATAAGCTTTTTTTTACCAATAATCTCTAGAGAATGACTCTATAGCATACTTGTCAGACAGGGAGTGGAACAGGGAGCAAGAGCGGGTGATCATGAAACGCTAGAAGATCCCTAGGGTTGCGGCCACCGTGTATACAATGCATATGTTAGGGCTCTAGATCCTAATGTTAGGGATGGAGATCCCAATCATTTGGGAGATCTTGAACCCGATCTGGCATCTTGATCGCAATCTTTTTCGGATCTTGCTCCCAACCTCAAAAAGTATACATAATTTATAACTATGTACGCTCTTTAGTGTATGGATCACTTTACTTATAGCCAACAAGCAATGTAACTATGTTAAAAATATAGTTTGTTGTTAACTAGCTATGAATAAATACATTATCAGTTTAGTCTTTCTATTGGTCTTTATAGTTGGAATCGACATACCTAACAGCAAGGATCAAGATCACTAATGGGGATCATGTTCGAGAATGTGATAAGCAAAACCACCATCCCTTAGAAATCCTACCACAAGTAGGATTAAGATTGGATAAAGAAAATAGAAGTCCGACTAAATTAAGACACTCGGTTATACATCCATCGTAAGTTTGAGATATATGTGATACATATGGGAAGTTTCATATTCTTATTTGCTAAATCCAACATTCGATATATGTAATGAGAGAGGAAAGAATATGCATGGCCTATTTTAGGGTCACCATTTCCAAAGAATGTACGAGGCCCATTTCAGGGTCACCATATGGAAATGTTGCTCCCCGTAGAAAGAGAGGCAGAAGCCTCTGCATGGGAGGGAAAAGCCTCCACATGAGAGTAACAAATGAAAATCCGGCCATCCTAGGTTTGGGTCTGGGCGGGCATGCCTAAAGCCAGAGCTTAAGCGGTTTGGGCACCCACCTAGTGTCATCCCTTAAATAAGAAAAGGAAATTCAAATCCACCCAACAAAAATAAGGCTTGGTATTGACTTTCTCTCTCTTGGGTCCACATGCTCTCTACAAGTATGGCCTCTCTCTCTCTCTCTCACACACACACACCCATATACTCACACAAAGATACACGTGGACCCATATGCTCCCTCTTTATATGAAAGAAGAAGAAAAACACGATGGCCTCCAAATGTTCGATGCGAGGTACCTCTCACATACACTCTCTCCACATATCCTCCAAGTGTTCAAGACCTCTCTCACAAATACAGATCCAAAAGAAAAAAAAAATGGTGATCTTCAAGAATTTCATGTGAGACCTCACACACACACGTACGTGCGCATGCACACACACACACATACACATTCACGAAACACACACACACAAAACAACATATGGTCGCCACCCCAACCCCTTCCCTTAGGGCGGCCTTTCCGCCTAGGCGCCTAAGCGGCCTCCTCATTTTTCCACATTGCATGAGATTCCACATTACATGAGAAATGTGCTTCCAACGGAGAGAGATGCTACTGCCTCCTACAGGGGTGAGACTACTGGTTTCTTGTAAAGATGTAGTTCCCATAGAAATTTTGGGAGGTATCCCTCTTAGTGAGATAGGAAATTGGCAAATGATGTAAGGTCGAGAGAGCAGGTTTAAAAGGGTTGCTTGACTAGGGTTTTATCGAGGATGGGAGAGGTAACTTAACTCTTTGTCTCAAGTGGATTTTAGTTTGTCATGCCCAATAACTAAATCCCAAAAAATCATAACAAATCAAGATCCCAAAATTTGAAAATTGAGATCCCTTGAAGATCCCTTAACGTTGGAGGGAGATTCCAGTGCAGGATGGCCACCTATGTTGGAAGACCCCAATATCTATGCTCAATAGGCTAGGAGGTCTTCACTATAGCTATTGACCAAAGGGACTAAGGGGAAAACTTTCTACTCATATTTATTCATCTCTGACATCAATCTTAAAAAAAGGAAAACGATTTGGAGCTCAAAAAAGGAAAAAAATGCTCCATCCCAAATCCCACATCAAGAATGACTATGGAGTGTCAACTTGTTGGAAGATAAGATCTGAAAAAAATATTCTTTCTTGAAATTGATCAAAAGGCCAGGTGGTAAAAAATTTAAAATCGCCCAGGCTACTTATTTTGCAGCCACTAATTTCCCCCTGTTATACTACCATTTATGAATGATCAAAGCCATCCCATGATAGCTAAAAAAAGCTATAAATCCATATGAAATAAAATCAAGCGTCATTTTTCACAAAATCACAAAAATATCAGTAGTCCCAAAATAATTCATTATTAAATGAATCTCAACGTCAAATTTTACTGAATTAGCGAATAATCAATAAAAAAAAAAATCCAAATCCAAGTCTTTACCATGCCAGAGAATAGGAGCCATTTCTTTGCTCAGATTGCTTCTATAACAGAAGGAACTATAATCCAAGGGGTATCAGGAAAAGCAATTTCTTTTGGATCCCATTCATCGATCACCATGCATCATCTGAATAAAAGGTGATCAAGCACTGGACTATGGCATCTTCATAGTCCATTAGATTATAACATAATTACCCAACTGTAGAATTTTGGAGACCGTAAAATTTTGCCAGCAGGAGAGAGGGTGACTTTTGGGGAAAAAAAGATAAACTGTGTGGGAAACAAGAATAAATTAAGAGTAAATTCAACAGAGAGAGAGAGAGAGAGAGTAAACTTCAGATAGAGAGAAGGCTTTATTCACCTGTAACTCAGTGGTGACAGGGTATTCATCCATGTCGACGTAGTTCTTATTAATGGTGGACAAGATGAGTTTATCGCACTCTGGTTCCATCCATGTCGTAACAAAGGATGCCAAATTGAGCCTCGGATTCCCATCAAGCATCAACTCATCGTTTATAATCTGATAAGCCGCATCTTTCGGGATCGAATTCTCAGGCATCTTGAACCTAGAATCAATCGCAAAACGCCATTAAGATTTTAGAGAGAGAAAGTGTGAAGAAACTGAGAAAGTAAGTGAATAAATCGCTACCTCGGAAGAGACGTGCGGACATATCTCGAAGCGAATGTGCAGTGAAGGGCCTGGCCTGCATCGGCAATCGCCGTGCTGATAACCATGGTTTCTCCTTCTCTATCTCTCTACCCTCTCTCAAGATGATGACTGTGAAATCAAATAAATTAGCACCCCTTCTGGCCTCTTCAGTCTCTCTCAGCGACTGCCAATATTGTGTTCTCTCTAGAGTCGGGAACCCTGCCTGCACACACTCTCTCTCTAGACTCCACTCTCTCTCTCTCTAACGATCGTTCTTCTCGTCTTCTACTGAGACTTTCGAAAAGCCCTCTCTCTCTCTCTCTATCTAGAGGTCTAATTCTCGACTGTTTCCTCACGAGTCATGATATACAGACAGTAAGACACCATGCTTCCCTCTCTCTAAAATCAAAACTCTGGACTCACACGAATTGACGGTTTCTTTCCCTCTCCAGTCGCCTGCGGTGTAGACGGGAATTCCAGAAACGACGATTTTATAACTGCAGGAGAACGATCGCGGACGTGAAAATAAATATAGTTTTAAGAGAAAATTGCTAAAACGCCGACTTTTTATACACTCCACCAGCAACTCTTCCACAAAAAATATATACCTTCTAGCTAATAACCCTACACAAAAAGTTTATTTATTTTGAACGAAAATACCTTTTTTTTATCGAGCAAATTATTTTCGTAAAAATATATTTTCTAACTAATACACCTACACAAAAAGTTTACTTATTTTAAACGAAAATACCTTTTCCTTATCTAACAAATCATTTTGGTTAGAGAGCGCGGTTGACATTTTGATCAATCGATCTAGCGATTTTTTTTGTTGGAATGGGCGATGGTGGCAGTCCCGCATTTGATGATGGCGGTCTGGCGATTATTTTTTTCTTGCTGGAATAGGCGGTTCAGCATTTGGAGTTACGGTCCGGCATTTTGCAATTGCATATGGATATTTTGAAGGGAGAGTACAGTGTTTTGATATGGTAGTCCGGAATTTTGTAGGGACACTCTGGCATTTTGTAGTATGCTAGATTGAACAGTCCGTAGTCGTACAAGTGTGGTCCGGTGTTTTTTTTAATTGGGTTCGAAAATGATTTGTCATGTGAAGAGAGAGTATTTTCATCGCAAAAAATATACAACTTTTCTTAATTAGGGTATTAGTTATAAAATATGGTTTTTGAACAAAATAAATGAAAAATTTTAGGTGGGGGTAGAGCATTTAGAAAGCATGTTCGTAAGTAGATTTTAGCAATTTTCTCTATTTTTAACGGTTAGACCACGTGGAAGGCCGTCGTGGTCCACTGTAGTCCAATTTGTTTTTTGCAACCGACATATTTAGAGGAGAGAGAAAAGTGGTATCGAGAGAAAGAGAGTAGAGAGAGAGAGGCAAGGGGAAGTTTGAGCGTTAAGTTTGATTTTTAGGTGCCATTATTTTGTGCGCCCACTTGCTGCGCTTGGGCAAAGCTATCCATGTGTTTGGTTCAATACGTTGTTTGGTATTTTCAAGTTTGACTTTAAGAGCTTTTTCCTAGAAAATTTCAAGTTTTGAAAGAGGTATTCTTAAATGCCATTCCAAAAAAATCTCTCTCATTTAATAGAAGATGTGTAAAATTTTCAAGTAGAATCTTGGTTTTTTATTTTATTTTATTATCTACATGTATTTTTTAAAATTTTGGTTTTTCATTCTACTCTATTATCTACATATATTTTTGAAAATAAATTACTCTATTATCTACATATATTTCTGAAAATAGATTTCTAAGTGGACGATAAACTGCACCAATCTAGAGTTTGAAACATCGGTCAAAATTAAGGATAATCAATCCCACTTGCTGTTTCTTTTCTTTTTTTTTTTCCTTTAATTCGAAGTTTGACCTCCTTCATGTAAAAAAAAAACAAAGTAATCTAGACCTACCCGAAACAACAAAAAAAATAAATGTATAAACTATAAAATAAATAACTTTGAGGTCATTTAACCTATCTGAAAAATAATAATTCATCGGTATGCACATTTTCAAACTAATACGTCATAGTTGCAAGTTGCAACTTTTTTGTTTATTTGTTTTTTTTGGGTAATTCAATAGGGAAGACATGCCTCTTTTTCTTTTCGCAAAAAGTTTAAGGATTAGTTTTTTCTAAATAAAAGTATATAATGAGACCATTTACCTTTTATATAATATTGTCGCAATCAACCGTGATCATTAGATGTGAAATTGGGCGACTGCATTTATTTTATTAACCAATCTAAAAGTTTAAAAGAAATTTTTCGAACTTTGTAATACATCCATACTTTCGAATTTGACATCACATTATTATACGTAATTTTGACCTTGGGGTAGTAAAAAAATAAGTCATCGCATTGTATACAATATTTTTCTAAAAAGTGTAAGTAAAAGTGCATTGTAGTTGCAACTGTTCAATATAGATATGAAAGCAAGTGCCATTCATGGAAAATGGGGAACATTCACCTTTTACCATGGAAAGTGGGGATTCAAATAAGGTGAACCTTTCTCTTTACCTCTTGCCCCTTCTAACCTTTGTCTACGTCTTATCTTCTTGTCACTTCTCCCATCCTTTCTATCTTTTTCTCCTTTTTTTTTTTTGTCCACTACTGTTATCTTGTAATCCTATTCATGTTCTCAATGAAAGGCTCACTTAACGTTAAAAAAAAATAGATTCGGTGAACCTTTCCGTAATAAAATATATATCTGTGGTCCATATCAAATGAAAATCTTAGGTGCCTGTGTAGGAAATCATTAAAGGATAAAAGTTGTCTTTAGTGGTGATAATCAAGTAGGAGAACATTAATGGTTGAGCCATCAAAATAAATATTTTTAAGGGAAAATTGCCCAAAAGTCTTTGGATAAGATAAATATTTGAAAATTACTTTACATTCTACGTTGAAATATCATTTTTCCTATTTCTTAATATATATTTTTTCAAATTAGGTTTTGACATCTCATGTTTATAATTGATTTTTTTTTTTTTGAAAAAAGGTTGGGTTCAGAACCTCAAATTTAAACCAGTTGTTTTGAGTGAAAGGTTGATTAGGAACTTAAAATTCCAAATCAAGCTTTCAACTTAAAAATTAAAGCGATGGATGTAGACATTGGAAATCAAAACCTAGCACACAAATTGTTTTCAGCAAAAAAGTTTAGGAAAATCACGTTCCAAACCCAACCTTTACTTGTAAAATATTTATAAGCGTGATCCGAACTTTTAATGTCTTGAGCGTAACAATTATTTTTGAGTGAGGACTGAGTTTAGATTTATAATTTCTGAATTCAGTTTCAGTAAAGTAAAGAGAGTTATAAGTTCTGAATTCAGTTTCATTAAAGAGAGAAAGAAAAAGACTTTAGAACTTGAAGATTTGAAGCCCATATTCGCATAGAAGAACTGTATGTTGGCTTAGAACTTCCATTAGAAGATGGAAAAATTCTCGGCTCAAAAGCATAGCAAATTATATCTTCTTTACGGTTGGTTTTTGAGGGTTTTGCTGATCATGTGTGGGCAGTTCAGTTTACCACCTCTTAAATTTTAGAATAATTTATGCTAATTTTCTATAAATTAATTTAAATTTTAAAATCCATAGTTTTTGTTTATGTCCCTTTTCTTAAACTTTTTTTGTTTTTCTCAAAATTAACATTCGGGCTATCAATATCCAAACCAAAACCATTGATAAATTAGTCCAAAATTTGAAACTCGGAACTGGTTTGTTTGAATTTTGGGTTCAAAATTTCAAATTCAAATCGACCTCTTATCCTGTAATTTTCCTTAGACGCGTTTATGGTCGAGACAGTTAGAATTTTGAATTAAAAAAAAAAAAAATCAATTCAAATTTTTACATTCCCAACTGGTTGGTTCACAAAATACGGGTCCATAATTTGAACTTTTGAACTGTTTACTCAATAATTTCAGTTCATATATGAAAGTCCCAATCAATAGCATTTTGAGAAAAAATAAAATGCATAAAAAAATAAGTGTACCGTTTGTATAGAGCCTAGGCTCTAAACAATAACCTACTTTCAAATAGTGTCAAGAACTGTGGTTTTAATATTGGAAATATTTGTGATAGTCTTAAAATATATTATGATATTTATTTATAAAGTTTAAAACTTAAAAAATAGTGTAGATCAAGATCTATGAAAAGTTGAAAATCTTGAAAATTGACTGTTAAAAAATGCATTATAAAATACACCATTTTTGTCTCATGTCCATGCATGTTGATGTCGAGATGATCAATTTGGAGATATTTGAGCATCAAAACAATATTTTCTAATGAAATTTTTGAAGTAGGCTCTAATTTGATTGTTTAAAGCCTCAGCTCTATATAAATTTTTGAGGTGGGCTCTAAAGGCATAATGTAACTTACAATTTGGGGAATATATGATTGACTCCAAACAAATTGGGGGATATTTACGAAATTTTCCTTAAAGTTTAAAGGTGCTTGAAATTATAGTTTTTGCTATTCCACCATTTACATGCCAGCAATCCCATCGCAAAGATGATATTTCCACCCATGCTTTGGGTGGCATTAATAAATCGATGTGCCGCGAGGTAATGCCTAATTAAAAAGGAACCCACTAAGCTTTCACCAAATTTCCCGCCACTTGAAGACCAAAAGCGATATAATCGAAAAGTTCATGGTTATTTCTAAAGTAAAAGGCCCTTACCGCCACTTGAAGACCAAAAGCGATATAATCGAAAAGTTCATGGCTAATTTCTAAAGTAAAAATATTTCCCTTTCTTCCCCCTCCCTATCCATATGGACGCGCATTTATGAACGTACGACTTTTCCTTCATTGTCTATCCTCGCAACGAACGGTCTAGATTGGCCCATCTTCTATGATGCACACAGCTGAACCGAAGCTTATCTCTACCGTCAGTTGAGTATAGTGGATGGACGATCGTTGTAGCAAACAACACATGCTGAGCTCACATACCATACTCCCTTGGAGTGTAGTTTATTTCTACTTTCTCAGAAAACATATTTGGTAGATTTCTCCAATTTAAAGGTTTTGAAGGCACTTGAGAATCACCATATGATTATTCTCCAAAGAAAAATTTTGAAATTTGAATTTTCTAACACTCGAATTTCCCTGTCTCCATTCAATCTCGAAATATTATTTTTTTCAAGCGCATAGAGATGCGATTAAGAAATTCTTTTATTTTGTTAACATGTAGATTGAAGAAGTTAATCCCCCCAAAATTTTTGGTTCTGAAATTAAGTAGATTGAAGAAGTTAATCCCCAAAATTTTTGGTTCTGAAATTAATTCCAAGTGAAGTATTAACCAAGGGAGCAAATAGACAGTATACTCCCTGAGAAGTATAATAACTTTTAGCTGTTAATATTTTTTTCCCTGTACATCAAGCGATCTACCCACTCCATTTTCCCGCCCATTACAAACCTCAGTAGAGAGAGAGAGGAGTGAGATAGGGGGATAGAGAGAGGAGTGAGGAGATATAGAGAGAGAGAGAGAAGAGAGAAGAGAGAGAGAGAATGGGGGCTTCTGCGACACTGAAGAAGGTGCAGAGGAAGTTCAAGCTGAGGAGTCTAACCCTAAACCGGGAAGCTCTCAATGAGGTCACGACATTCCTCACCAACTTCAGCGAAGAACAAGAAGATGAATATCTAGACCTCCTTCTCAACCAGATCGAGCAAACCACATGTAAAAACATATTCACCTTCTTCGTTTTCTCTCTCTATGCCGAATTCTACTTTAGATTCATATCTGATTTTTTTTTTAATTTATGGAATTTCCAGTTTCTCTTTCTAGCCCCTCCTCCTCAACCAGATCGAGAAAACCCCATGTAAAAAAGAAGACATATCCACCTTCTTTATTTTCTCCCTCTCCAGCCAAATTCTATTTATATGTAATATCTTTTTTATTTGATGGAATTTCCATTTTCTCTCTCTAGTCCCCTTTAGATTTAATTCACAGTCTTTTTATAAAATTTGCAAATGTCTCTATCTTGCCCCAATTTGTTTAGATTTTTCTTTATCTGATTTTATTCAGTAGGCTTCATCAGTGTTGGCAAAAGTTGGCCGGTCCAACTTGGAACCGGCCGGTTAAACTGGAACAGGGAACGTATATCCGGTTTGGCTGGGTTAGGTGGTACGGCCGGGTATTTAAATTTTTTTTTCAAAAATATAATATAAGATATCAAAAAATAAAGAATTTGTTTGTAAGGTTTTTGAATGTTTTATTTATTTATTTTTATCATTTTGGCAAAGATTAGAAAGTGTTTTGGCCATCAATACTTATTTTTACATTTTTTATTCGTTTGTGGATTATGTCTAAAATACTCATGGGCACAAATTGATTTTTAAAATCCATTTTTTTCACTACTTTTCAGCTTCATGTGTGTGTGCTTTGTTTAATTATGCTTTAAATATACTTTTTATATTTTTTACAGTTTTGTTTTTGTGTTTTTTAACACTGTTTTGGACTGGCTGAGACTTGCCCGGTTAGGCCGGGTGAACCGGCGGGTTTACCTGTTTCTCAGACCCACCCCTTGGCTGGTTTCCAAGTCCGGTTCGATTTTTCGAACACTGGGCTTCATTTTCCTCTCTCTAGCCCAATGATCTCTTAGATTTACTCTTTTGTTTTCTTTTAAACCAAAATTTCAGTTTTTCTTTAGCACCAATTCCTTTATAGTTTTTTCTTTTCACTTTTCTTTTTTAATTAACTTTTGACATGGTTTCGTTCAAATGAAAGTGAAGAAGTCTGTTCTGGACAAGGAGGTGGTTCGTCCTATTGTGGAATTGTTATTAGAGGCTGATGCTGCAATAGATACAGGCAAAAGTTGCAGCAATGAGGGGGCCCTGCGCATAGTCGATGCTTTTCTTGTGCCCAAGTTGTCTTATGATCCCATCAAAAAAACTTTTTATGAGTAAGTTCATCACTTAAGATTTGTTTCTAAAAGTTGATGAATGCAACTGTTTTTCTTTGTTTTTTATTTAGGTAACATTACTCTCTCATCAAATTTATGTCTAGTAAATTGAGCAATGTATCTATCTACTTTCTTATTCGAGTTACCCCAAAACATATATTTGGCTTTTAGTTTTTGGGAGTGAAATTATTGATTTGTGGCTGTGGTATTTGATAAGAGAAATATTTCAGTTATTTCCATTCCTGCTAATGTAACAAAAAAAAAGGTATTTCAGTTATTTTATTTATTTATTTATTCTTTGGTTCATTGGTGATCTACAGTGGGCGTGTTTTGTTGCAAGGTCTAATAGGTGAATTTTAGTGCTAGAATAGCTGCGCAGGTCGTCATCTAAGCAGTGGCTCATGATCATCAGAATTTATTCTTAGAGCTATATGGAACGATTTTTCTTAGGGTTGTCTTGTTGGTATTTGGATATATTAAAACTTCAGAAGAAACTAGCACTTAACTATGACTTTTCATTAAAAATAAGTATGGGGCACCCCAGATAAATCCACAATGGGCAATATGATTCTTACTGAAGGTAAGGGTCTATGGGATATGTGAGAACTGGTCTCTTTAGAAAAGTTAAGCTGCAATTTAACTTTGTATATTAACAGTATAAACTGAATTAAAATCACGATATGCTTGTAAACTATTTCTTCTAAGATTGTATTGAACTGATAATGGATGCCAAAGGCTAAACTTTGTCATAAATGGGACTTATGGATGGATATCAAATCATAGAATGCGTTATTGGTTGATGAACATTGTGAAGTAAGCTAAATGAATGTGTGCTTTGTAGGATCATTCTCAAGGCTTTTAAAGTACATTGATGTTTATTCCTTTTTCTTCTTTTTTTTCAAGTGTTAACAGTGGAGCCTAGGACATTATATTGAGGCATCTGCCCCCCCAACCACTGATGCCTCCCCATTCCCTACATGGACATCTTATTCCTTTAAGTAACTAAATGCATTTACGTCTCAAAAAGCGCCTAAATGCAAATGCTATGGTGACCACATAAACCTGCTGCTTTGGATTACCTCTATGATTCTATTTCTAATGTTTTTATGACTTCTTATTTTAGATATACAGGGAATCTGCCTATTCATGGTGATGCATCTTCAAAAGTTGCTTTATATAGGGAGAGATATCAGCTGTTGAATCAGAGGCTTTTACGCAATAGTGATTTTTCTAGGCCAGCTTTTGATACAGATATAACCCGATCAGGTGGTGAGGTATGGTCACGAGAGCATGCCATAAAAAAGTATTGTCATTTATGACTTTAGTTTGGATTTTTTGATTTATGATCTTATCTAGTATGTTGTGGAAAACACTCGTTACTTTGAACGCTACTTGGACAGATGATAGGATTTTGCTGGTCTGTAGACTTTTAATTATTCACTAAAATGTTGCATTTTAAAGGTTTGCAAATAGTTAAATGCCTTTTCTAAATTCAAAATAAATACTTGATGGTTCACCATTCAAGTGAAGCTGAAACTTCTTGTTTGAAATCAAACTTGATCTGTAATTGTCGCTAGTATTATTGATTCTAATGAATGCAGTTGATTCCCATACAAGCATTGATTGGATGCACCGGAAGGAGATGGATCATGGGTGTAATATCTCAGATGGAAGATGGGCATTTCTTCCTGGAGGATCTAACTGCAGCAGTTGAAATCGACTTATCCAATGCAATATCCTTTATGCAATTGTCGCTTATTTCATTTTCAGAAATCATTGAATGGATTTAATGCAAATTGATAAAAATCAATATAATTTACCAAGTCTAGAGATGATAGATTCCATCGATTTGCTAAGTTGTACGTGGTATACCTAATGTTATGTTTGTAAATCAATAGTAAAAGCATCATGTGTATATCCTACAGATCTATGAAAACAGACTGGTAACTTGACTAAGTTCTTATGGAGTATTTCTACATTCAGATATTGAAATATAAACACATCTCGAGGTAATGTTATTGATCTAGGATCATGTATTATTTAAATATTCTAATAACCAAAGTACATAACCTGTCATTTGAAGTAGATTCCCATCACTAATCAGCATAATAAATTATTGTTATTATAAGCAATTTAGAGTTTTGTATATTTTAACTAATTAATAACGGATTTGGACTCTCAACCGAAACAGTGGGACTACCAAAGCATTTCTCTTCTGCTCAAAGTGAATGTCATCATGGTCTGTATACTTTGTTAGTTACTTATAGCAGTTAGATATTTGTCAGATTACCAGCATAGATGTGATATTTCTTTGACATATATATCACAAGATCACTACGGGATTCTTTGTGGAGAACACTATAATTCTGGCTGAAGGTGAGCTGCATCCAAATGGGGTGTTTCAGGTATGCACTCCTTTTATTTCAGTTAATCTTGATACTGTTTAATTTTCCTCCCAAATGTCCATGAGCTGAGATACTATTATCATAATGGAATCTAAGCCTCCATGCCAACTGATATAATACCTTAGATTTTATTGCTTTTATTTTTGTTAAGAATATTAATTCCTGTGCAAGATGGACATATGGGTAGTCTGGTCCCTGCAAATATTTGCGTTGAAAATCAAGCCTGAGCTTTAACTGATACCGCCCAAGTCCAACCCGAAAAAGTAAATTTTCAAACTTCACTCTCAGATACTGGGAGCATGTCCCAGCAAATTTTTTGTGTGACTTTTGGTCGGCCATATTGTTAGCAAATTAGATTTGAATGTTGTCATCATCTTATTATTGATACTATTCAGCATAGTCGTCTCTATCTTCTCTTTTATAATGCTCTCTTTCCTGATTATAGGTCCATACATGCGGCTTTCCTCCCTTAGAGGACGGGAATGCTTCTCTAGCTGTACATACAGGACTAGATTTCTTTGGGGCTGGGTATCTTACACCTGAAGAAACTGTATGCACTTTTACTCATTTACTTTGTAGACTAAAAATGTTTGCTATGGATTCCCATCTCCTAAGACTTGCTCATTCACCAACGGAGCTTGGATTTCTTTGACTGATCATAGGCCAGACTTGTGGAGTTGGAGAAAAAAGCAGTGAATGATATGTTTGTCATTCTCTCTGATGTTTGGTTGGATAACGAAGAGGTAAAATTATCTTCTGCTTTTCTTAACTTAGTTCCCAGAGAAATTACCAGGATGGTACCTGAAACATAGATCATGCAGGTGGTTTAGGAACTTGAACCACCACGGCTGTTTGTGGACCCTTCAATTGTTATAAACATGACTTGTTTTATGTCGTTTCAATTAGTTCACCTCTTATCCATGTCTGGCATTTTAAACAACCCATCAATTGTGTCTCTTTTTTTTTTTTTGGGTGGGGGGTGGGGGTTTGTAGTCAATTTTTTCTAAAAAGTTGACTGGTCAAGATACCATTTTAAATTTCTAAATTTTGGACCATCTTCGTGATCAATGCAGTGTTCTATATTTTTTTCTGATATTTTTTGCATATTTCTTTACCCCTTGCTAACCGATGAAGATCAACCGTGCTGTTTTCACATATGGAGAAGACCATGGAAAAGCTAGCTGCTGTCTTAGACGGTTATGAGAATGTGGAGGTGGTGCCATCTCTCTTCGTATTTATGGGGAACTTTTGCTCTCGTCCTTGTAACCTGGCCTTCAATTCTTACTCTAGCCTAAGGCATGTGATATTCATTCCCCTTTGGCCACTCAAAATGATAATTCTGCCTAATCAGGTGGACCCTCTTGATATATGAATTTTGGTGGGGGACTGATAATAAATGATCTTGTGTTTGCAGATCGCAGTTTGCAAAGTTTGGAGAAATGATTGCGGCACACCCTCGGTTAAAAGAAGGAAGCCGGTTTTTGTTTATCCCCGGTCCTGAAGATGCAGGTGATGTTAAAGCTTCCAATTTCAGTTCAGTTTTGTTGCATTTCATGCTATGGTTGTATCACTTTGTAGAGTTTTTGTTGTTGTTTTACTGTGGGAAGGGTTTCTCTAGGTCCCCGTTTCTCAGGAGTCAGGACTCGCAGATTGCTTGGTCAGGGGACCACTGCTTTAGCAGAACCAGTATACTATGATGCTATTTACTATGGGGAGAGTACCCTATAGCTCAATTAATGATGGAAACCTATACTATAATCCAATTAATGATGAAAACCACAGCCATAGTCCATTAGTTCACATAATTAGAGAGTACCCTATAGCTCCCTTAATGATTGAAACCTATACTATAATCCAATTAATGACGGAAAACCACAGCCATAGTCCATTGTTCACATAATTCAATGAACTAATGAATGGAGAGGGAGAGTGGGACCCACCAGAA